TGAAACCCCGTCTCTACTAAAAATACAAAATAATTAGCCGGGGGTGGTGGCGGGTGCCTGTAGTCCCAACTACTCGGGAGACTGAGGCAGGAGAATGGTGTGAACCCGGGGGGTGGAGCTTGCAGTGAGCCAAGATGGCACCAATGCACTCCAGCCTGGGCGACAGAGTGAGACTCTGTCTCAAAAAAAAAAAAAAAAAAAAAAAAAAAAAAAAAAAAAAGAACAAAAAAAAAGAAAAACAAAAAAGCCATGGTGGTAAAGTTAGACATTTATACATCTTTCCATAAGGCATTCCTTCTATTGGAGTATTTATTTTTATGATTTTCAAATGGAGGAAGAGGGGATAACTAAGTTCCCCAGATGATTTTGCTTACTTTCATAGTTTGATATTTACTGCTCACCTGGGTAAGAGGTGCCACTCATGTGTTTCTCACTGTTGATTCTTTTGTGTATTCTTCCTGAGAAATCTTAGGCTATTTCACAAATACATCCTCCTGGAATAATGACAAAAGTTGTCATTGCAAAAATATATAGCAGTTTTTCGCAAAGGCTTTTGCAGTAGTTATAACAAATAAACTCTGTATTTTGAAATATATAAAGTGTAATTATAAAGTATACAGCATCCTTAACGAACATATCAGAATTATATGCTATGAGTAATATTCGTCAACTGAATTCGCCTAAGGTCTGAATTTAATGATAAGGGTCCTAATAATGTTGCATTAAAAAATAATGCAAATATGTGTCTAGTAGGATATGGTATGTCCATAATCTTGGTGTGAATCAAAATGACTTTTGGCTCTTTCCCATTTGTGTTTGATTTTTAGAAACAGTCAAAAGTCACTGAGAGTTTAGTGAGTATACTGTATGATGAAAAGGATAATACTCACCCCTACCTACTCTCAAATTGAAATATAATAGGTCTTATGTTGAGCTTATGAAAAGAATGCAAATAACCAGTTTGAGAAAAAATAATTATCTTGTGACCAGATGTCATAGTGTGTGAATAAAATATACAATACATAAATGTATAAGGAAATCCAAATATAGGTATTCATTGAGGAGTTGTAACTATTTAATTAACCTTCATTTAGCTAGTAAAGGGACATGTCAGCAAGCTTTAGAAAGTTTAAGTCATTTATAATTATAAAGCTTTTAAGATGGACTTAATTGTGCTGTCTCACTAGCAGGAAATGGGGCATTTTATTCAAGTCTCTAAAAAAATCATTATGAACTATTTAATACACATGTTGCCTTTACTCTCCAATTCCTCAAAGCTTCAGGTAGTATAGGCTTCTGTAGTTGTGTAAGAGACCAAATTATGCAGATTGCATTACTGAAGATTTATTCCTTCCAGATCTCAATTCAGTGTGGCTATTTAGCAATTATCAGATGTGAAATGTGCTTTCTAAGTGAAGACTTCCCTTCTTCCTACACTGGACTGTGATATCAATTAAAAGTAAAAACAAGGTTACATTTTGAGCACTTGTTATGAGCCAGACAACTTTCTGAAATGATTATATTATCATACCAAATTCGTAGATGAAGTACAGAGAAGTTAAGTAACTTGCCCAGTGTCACACAGTAAGAGGCACTGTGAAGGTACAATTTGGGGGATGTGGTTCCAAATCCCACACTCTGATTTTAGAACTACAGAATACTATCTCTCGATCCTTGTGTAAACATTTCCTTGCAGTTATACTTAAGCAATGGTGAACAGGTGTGTCTTTGAGCAGACTAAATAAATGTTAAATTGGTGTCATAACTCACCAAATCCTAGGTTTGGTGGCCACATGTTGAGTGTGTTGCTTTTTAGTAAACTTGGCAATTGTTTGGGCTTAAAGCCCAAAATTAGTAGAAAGCCTTCCTAAAGACTGCCTTATCTTGAAGAATACACTTGTTGAATACTTGTAGCTATGAAAAAATATTGCACCTTGCACTTTTTCAGTTGCAAAACTAAGATAAATTAATAAATGGTACCTTTGATTTATTTGCTGTCGGTTCAAAGACATACAAAGTTTTTTAGATAAAGCAGTCTGTTGTAAACACGTTCCTGATTTTGTTCATTAGTTAATATATATATACACATACACACATACACACAAATATATACAGTATTTTATAGATATATACACACTTACATATATACAGCATTTTATGTGTGTATATATATTTAAAGGACATACACACACATATACAGTCTTTCATATATATATATACACATACAGTCTTTTATGTATATATATATTTAATGGAGTCATTCAGGTTTTCTGTATATAAGATTATGTCATCTGCAGACAGGGAGAATTTTGCTTTTTCATTTCAATTTGGATGCCTATTATTATTATTACCTAATTGCTCTGGCTAAGGACTTCAAGTACTATGTTGAATCGTGGCAGGAGTAGGCATCTTTGCCTTGTTTTTGATCTTAGAGGAAAAGCTTTCAGGTTTTCAGTGTTGAGTATGATGTTATCTAAGGGCTTTTATACATGGCCTTTATCATGTTGAGGTAACTTCTTTCTGTTCCTAGTTTGTTGAGTTTTTGTCATGAAAGGTGCTGAATTTTGTCAAACACTTTTTCTGCGTCTATTAAGACAATCATGTGATATCCTTTATTCTGTTAATGTGGTGTATCACATTCATTGATTTTTTTTATGTTGAACTCTCCTTGAATTCAGGGATAAATTGCACTTGATCATAGTTTATACTTTTTTTCTTAAGTGCTGTTGGATTTAGTTTGCTAGCGTTTTGTTGAGAATTTTTGCATCTGTATTCATCAGGATATGGCCTGCAGTTTTCTCGTGGTGTCTTAGTCTGGCTTTGGTGTCAAAGTAATGCTAGCCTCATAAAAATGTGTTTGGAAGTGTCCCTTCCTCTTATATTTTTTGGAGTTTGAGAAAGACTAGTGTTAATTCTTCTTTAAGTGCAGAAAACTTTGGTAGAATTCACCAGTGAAGCCATCCAATCCTGAGCTTTTCTTTCTTGGGAGGCTTTGATCACTGATTCAATCTCCGTATTAGTTATAGGTCTAGTCAGACTTTCTATTTTTTCCTAATTTAGTCTTGGAACACGTTCTTTCTTGGAACGTTCTCAGAGTTGACCATAGTTGTTTCTTTTTCCTTTTTTCTCATCTTGCATTTCTTAAATTATGAAAATAAAAACAATAAAGGACAGAAGAGAAATATATTATGCCCAATAAAATTTCCCCTAAGGTAAGATTTTAATTAATTATTATAAGATTATTAACTAATTATTAAGATTATCAGCAGCTAAAATGGCTGCTCCATAAAGAACAGGCATAATTTCTCTTGCATGTGGGATTTTCAGAGCATTTTTAATGAATTCACAGTATCATCTAATCCCTGAAAGAATACTTATTTACACTGAAGAGGTCTGTGTTCTCTTGTTTTCTGTTTTGCTTCAGAAAATATCTAAAGTTGTTATTTTATTATTATTATTTTTTTGGTTTCCTATCTGGCATCTCTTTGTTTGGCATATCCTGTTGGCATTCCCTTATAGAGAACTTCCTGGAAAGCGGATCAGTTTGTTGTGATCCAGAAATACTTTTGTCTGGCTACTAGGTCATGCTTTACACCAAGAATAAATGACGGAGCTAAGCACACTATATTAAAATGTCCAGTGTTTAAACTTGTGAGAGACTTTTTTGATTTGTTTGTGTTGTTCCTCTTTTAAAAAATAATCCAAAGCATGCAAGTTGTGAGTAGGATTATTTTACTTAAAAGTACAGTGATGTTGATTTTTGACCAAAACTTGGAATAGCTGGGAAAATATCAAGAAAAACAACTTTTATCAAAAGGCAAATTAGTTTTTGAAGCTGGTGTTAATTGGCAGCCAAGGTGTTTCATTAGGAAGCTGAATTTTTAACAGTTGTTACTTGGTTACTATGAAAACACCAGCCAGGAGAAAACACTGCCTTGTGGAGGGTATTTCTCTAGTCTCTCCCAGCCCCTCTGCCAATGTGTCAATAATGTGAGTCCTGTTTTAAAACACTTACGTGCTGCCTGGTAACTGTGCCTGTGTTGGCTGTTTATTCAACTTTATTTCTGGATTAGATGCATATTTCATAATGATTTGTGTTCAGGGATGTTCACTTTCAAGCTGAAGGTATTGTATCTTTCTATTTTACAATTTTCTATGTTTGAATGAAACCCAAGACCTTATTGGGAGAACTGTTTTTCTTTGTAACCGACAGCATAAAGCAAACCACAGGAAATATATAAATTGTAACTATAGAGATGATTCTTTTGGATGAAGCAATGAGAACTGTAGTGTTTTGTCTCTATGTGTGGGTGTACTGCTGATTTTTTAAAGATAAAACACCTGAGGACCATAGGTAGTAAGGTTCAACTGTTTATTCCCCTTCTTAGTAGTAAACAGCATGAAGAACGTTTCTCTTTGTACATAACATATCTAAAGCCCCTGGAGTATGTATGCTTTGATATTTTCCCCATTCTGACATTTTACTAGCTGGCTAAAAAACAGATAGGTTTGCTATGTGAGTCATCAACCTATAGGCAACAAATTCTTGGATTGTCACATTTATGGTCATCCTTTTAATCTCTGTTGTGTTCAGCATCCAGTTTTATGGTAATGTACAGAAAAAATGATTTGCTCTGAGTCATGTGGTAAAACTCTTGGTTTAAATTTTTTGTCAACAGTTCCCCAGCCAAATAATTTAATTATGTGATCATAGTCTTGTTGAAGCTTGTGTTATTGATTCTAAGAAGAAAGCATGACTTTATTTGTTGTCTTTCAAAACAAAAACAGGTTTTCCTCTTGCTTTGCAAAGTCTCAGCTAGGGTTTTACAGAACAAAATAATGAATGCTTCTGCTGCAGCATGTCACAGGGGAGGCTGGGACAATACTGAACTCATGCACACTGCTGATCCTTGCTTGCTGGGCAACATGTACACCTGGATTTCTGACAGCTATGTGGGTTCACTAGAGACCTCTGTCATTCTTTTCATCCTCTTATATAGGCAATGGTCGAGACAGTTAACAACCTGCTTCAGCCACAAGCTTTGAATGCGTGGAGAGACCTGACTATAAGCGATCAGCTACGTGCGGCCACCATGTTGCTTCATACTGTGGAGGAAAGTGCTTTTGTGCTGGCTGATAACCTTTTGAAGACTGACATTGTCAGGGAGAACACAGACAATATTAGTAAGTGGCCTTTGTTATTCAGAAGGTCTAGACACTGTTGTATATCTGAAGACGGAAAAGAAAAAAGTATCTCTGGTGTCCCAGATATGAGTGATACTTTATTTCAATGGAGAAAAGTCATTCTTTTTCTAAAATAAAGAGGGCATCACTTGTCATTGGCTTAAAAGGATAGAAAATCATGTGTGCTATCTGTCTTAGGACATTTCAATATTAGGTTCAATATTGAACATAGTAGCCTGAGATCACTTACGGTGAGGTTTGTTTTTTTAAAGGACTTTTATGTATGTATTATACCATTTAAAATTTTATCCTCTTAATACAGGACTATTAGGAGTTATTTCAGTTATAATGAGAGTATCTTTGAATTCACATTATAAAGAAGTAAGTCATTTGAGTGAAAATGATAAAACAGTGTTTGATAATCATGTTATTTGACTTATAAAGGATATCAATCTATTTTTATTGTGGATTAGGAGTAGCTAACACTTTTATTTCAGAAGTTATGATAAAGCTGTTTCAAATTTATTGGGCTTAAAGATCAATATTGATAGGATAGTACAGCTCTAGATTATAAAAGGATTTTTATTTAATTTATAAAATAAAGATTATATTTTGAAACTTAAGGCCAATGACAATGTATTACAATTTGGGATTGAATTTTAAATTTTAGGCTTTATTATTGACATGTTTGTATTATTTACATAATTTTAATAACTTTTATTTGCATTACTTTTATAAAATACGAACAATATATTTTCTGAAAGATTTTCATAAATCATGACAAATAGAACGAGAATTCCAGTGTTTTGATTTCAGAAATACTGCAATGATTTAGGAAATTATTGTAGCTTAGGTATGTTTCTCAATGAGCACGGGTATCTCTTTGATATTAACAGAATTGGAAGTTGCAAGACTGAGCACAGAAGGAAACTTAGAAGACCTAAAATTTCCAGAAAACATGGGCCATGGAAGCACTATCCAGCTGTCTGCAAATACTTTAAAGCAAAATGGCCGAAATGGTAGGTTAGAGTTTATTTTTTAAGCTTGAGGGGATTGAACTTGCATCAATTCATTCTTTTTTGGCCCAGAATATTAGATCCACTATTGAGGAGCTTTTCCCCTCTTCCTTTTCCTACACTATTCTCTTTCTCCTCCTCTTCCTCTTCTTTCTCTACTGTACAGCACCATCAATATTACAGTGATATTTATTCTACAAAATTACCAATCAGATTTGGAAATTGTTCCATTACTTTTCAGTTGCCAGAAACTTAAATATAAAGGAAATTATGGACAACAAAATTCAGAGGATCTGACATCTTTCCTCAAAAGGAGGAACTCTCACTGAGTGTGCAGATTTCACTTGTAAAATTTTTTATGGAAATTTTACTTTTAATTAAATTTTTTTTTTTGCTTATTCAGCTTCTTTTTGAGAGTTTTTATGCTTTTCTTTGCAAAGCATACAAACATTTAAATGTAAGGAGATGATTTTGGGAAATGGAACTATAAATATAATCAGCTTAGCTTACTACTAAATTGAATACACTGAAAATAATTAAAATTCAATAAATAATCTTATAAAGTATGTCCCAAACTTCACTAATATTAAAAAATGTTTAAACTTACACACATGTATGTGCATGTATATGTATGTGTGTGTATATATGTATGTGTGTGTATATATGTATGTATAGATGTGTGTGTATATATTATATGTATGTGTATATACATGTATCTCCTCTAAAATAGACCCCTCTTTCCCATATTTGTACATATATGCATACACACACACACACACACACACAGAGAGATATTTCTTTTTTGCCAAGAAAGGGAGATTGTTTAATCTGCCAGGTGATAGGAAGATGACCTCAGTTCCTAGTCACCAACTTAATGCTAATATTTCGTATTGCAGGGTGAACAGTGTTGATAAATAATATCAAGAAAAACAACTTACATTTGTTGTCATCAGAATAAAATGGTCTGTAAATGTTAGAAATATTGTAAGACTAAACTTAGAAATCATTTTTATGTTACTCATTTGACTAAGAAAATTTTTGAGACAGCAGTAAGATTAAGTAGAGCAAAATTAGATTCCTGCATTAGCTTCCTAAATTGTTTCCCTGCTTCCACTCTTTTGCCCTCCAACAGTATATCCTGTTGACAAAGGGTTATTCCTGAAACATACATCTGACCAGTTGACCTCCACTTACACTTACAATGAGATCTCATGACTTAACTAGGCCTGCCAGGTGCTACCTGGTCCACTTCCTTCCTGCCTCATTTGCCACACCTCACATTTGTCTTCAGCATGTTCTGTGTGATCCAGACAGAGTAATCTTGATTCTGTTTCTTGAACACACCAAGCATGTTCCTGCATCAGGTTTGGGGTGTTTTTGTTTTTGTTTTTTTAAACCTTTCTTCTTAGAATACAATTTTTACTTTTTTTTTTTTTTTTTTTTCATGGCACCCTCTCTATCATTCACTTTTTAGAATAAATCTACCTCTATAAGGAGAGTTTTCCCTATCTCCTCTAAGGTAAACTCCTCTTTCCCAATCACTCTTTCCCCATTAGCCATGATTATGCCAATGTTTCTTCATAGCATTTATTCACTTACCATTATAAGAAATAATATTATTATTATTTTTCAATCTGCCTGCTTACTGCCTGGGTCTCCCTCCAGGCAGTAAGTTCCATGGGAGCAGGGGCCTTGTCTAATCTTGTTCACTGATGTAACCCTAGTACTTCAGTGCCTGGTTCATCTATACATCTATATACTCACTACTTAAGTATACAATAAATGTGTGAACCTTCAGACACAAAGCTGTGTATCCGAAGACATGTAGAAATATATTAGTCAAATTCAGTTCTGTGTTCATTTATTTTCTAAATTAACGTATAGTTGTTTTTTGTGTGTTTTGTTTTGTTTTAATAGAGAAGAGGGTCTTTCTGTGTTTCCCAGGCTGGTCTTGAACTCCTGGCCTCAAGGGATCCTCCCACCTCAGCCTCCCATAGTGCTGGAATTGCAGGCATGAGTCATCACACCCAGCCTGTTTTTGTTTTTGTTTGTTAAAGTCACATTTAAGCATTCATTTTAGAACAGAGAATATGAGAGAATTGCCAGTGACTAAGTGTGCTGGTAACACACGGTGGGATGGCAAAATGACGCCATCCTGGAAGTGGAAATTGGCATGAATTATCAGCCAATTATAAACCAATTAAAATTGAAGTTTTTAATGTCAACAAGAAAAATGCATGAATGTTCTTAATTTTCACCTTTCAAAAATCAGCATTTTAATACCAAATCTAGAAGGAAAGAACAAAATTAAATTGTATGTTATAACAGATAAGTATTTAGTGAATTACTATGATTTGCTCAGTACTGTATTAACACTTGTAGATTAGATAAGAATGCTCTCTTCCATTATATAGCTCTCATCATAATCTCTTTGCTGGATTACGGAAATGATAATGGATATCTCATAGAATCACTGAGACGGCTGGAGAATCAGGCCCAGAAGATACACTAGAGCAAGGAGGCTGACAGCAGCCTATACTACATCACAAAATCACTGCTGTGAAATGTCACTGCTGCCGCAAGTGAACTCTGTAGCAGTAACTGTGCCGCTGCTGCTGCTGCTGTTGCTGTACCACTCCCTGCCTATTTGTATCACTAGCTCCTCATCTGATATCTGAGGCTACTGCATCTGATTGGATGCATCTAGCAGAAGTGCCCAGAGCAACCTATTCACAATAAGCTAGGAAAGCAAGTATATGTCCATTTTGTGTCTATAAATCCCGAAGAGTAGGGAATTTCCCAAACACGGGAGTTAGACGTTAAATAGCCCTCCTCCTCAAAAAAAGGAAAAAAAAAAAAGTAACTTTTTTTTTTTTGCCTATCTCCTCACACGACTCAATTTTCTTTTTTTCCACTTGATTCTAAGATTCAGAGATAGGGACTGTGACTTCCTCTTCTTAGTAACCATAGTAGTTGGGGCCAGAAATAAGATATAGGGCTTGACTTTTTTAAATAAAGGAAATAATATAATTTTAAAAAGTGTGTTAAGAGACAATTCACTTCATAGAGGATTACATTTAAGTGACTGTCATAAAGGAAAAAAATAAGGTGGAAGGACTTGTTGACTTTGTGGAAACAGTGACCTTAAAATAACATGACAGCTGAGTTTTAAGACAGTAAAGACTGTGAATTCTTATGTGTTTTCCTTAACATTGCAATTGAGAAATAATTTACATACACTAAAATATACATTTAGCTTGAGGAAGCATTTAGCTTGGGAATTTGACAGTTGTACATTCTTTTATAATATCACAAAAAGAAAGAAAATAAATCTCTTCTGTACCCAGAAAATTTTCCCATGTCTTTTACCAGTCTTCTTATTCCCTCTCCTCGCCTAATAAAACTTTCTTCTCATTACTATTTCTGTAGACAAAATTTGACAGTTTTTTTTTTTTTTTTTTTTTTTTTGAGACGGAGTCTCACTCTGTCACCCAGGCTGGAGTGCAGTGGCACAATCTCAGATCACTGCAACCCCTGCCTCCCAGGTTCAAGTTATTCTCCTGCCTCAGCCTCCTGAGTAGCTGGGATCACAGGCGTGTGCCACCATGCCTGGCTAAATTTTGTATTTTTAGTAGAGACAGGGTTTCGCCATGTTGGTCAGGCTGGTCTTGAATTCCTGACCTTGTGATCCATCCGCCTCAGCCTCCCAAAGTGCTAGGATTACAGGCATGAGCCACAGCGCCCGGCCAAAATTTGCCAGTGTTTTAAGACCTCATATAACTGGTATCATACAGTATATACCATTTTCTGTCTGAATTCATTAACCAGGCAAAATATTTTTAAGACTTTCTCATGATGTTCCATGTATCAATAGTTTGTTCTTTATTGATGAATAGTATATTCTATTATGTAATATGCCATAATTTATTTATCCTCCTATAAATAATAATTGACTTGTTTCCAGTTTGGGACTGTTAAGAATAAGGATATATATCCACATGTATTGTGGTGGATATATGTTTCCACTTATCTAGGAAAGATAGATGTATGTTTAATTTTATAAGAAATTGTCAAACATTTTTTCCAAATGGTTGAACTATTTTATACTACCTCCAGAAGTGTACGAGAGTTCCGTTTCTTCCACATCCTTATCAACATTAGTGTGGTCAGTCTTTTCAATTTTAGAGATTCTTGTGGGTATGAAATGGTAACTCAATGTAGTCTTATTTTTTCATTCCCTAATTACTAATGATGCTGATCATTTTTCATGTGTCTATTGGCCTTTCCTTTATTTATTTTCTAAAGTGTGTATTTATGTCTTTTGCCATTTTAAGATGCCATTAATTTATTGTTAGTTGGTAAAAATGCTGTATATATTAATGAATCTTATTTTTAAATGTATTTCAGTCTGCTTGTTTCTTAATAATGTATTTTGATAGATTTTTGGTTTTGATAAAGTTTAGTTTATCATTTTATGATAAATGTTTTGGGGTCTTATTGAAGACATTTTTGCCTTCTTCAAAGTTCAAGGATATTTTTCTATATTTTGTTCTAGAAGCCTTATGATTCTGGTTTTCATGTTTAGGTGTATGATCGATCTTAAATTTAGTTTTGAGTATGGAGTGAGTTAGGGATTGAGGTTCATTTTTTAAAATAGTGGCATGTAGTTGTTTTAGCATAATTTGACTTTCCTCTCATAAATGACTTGGTACTTTGGTTGAAATGAATGCTGAATTTTTTGTGTGAATACATACTATATGAATTTAATTTTCTGTTTCATTAGTACTAACTAATTTAAGTAGAATGGACAAACTAATCAGAGTTTGCATTTATTTTAGGAGAGATCAGAGTGGCCTTTGTGCTGTATAACAACTTGGGTCCTTATTTGTCCACGGAGAATGCCAGTATGAAGTTGGGAACGGAAGCTTTGTCCACAAATCATTCTGTTATTGTCAATTCTCCTGTTATTACGGCAGCAATAAACAAAGAGTTCAGTAACAAGGTTTATTTGGCTGATCCTGTGGTGTTTACTGTTAAACATATCAAGGTAAGAAAATGGCATATTAACTTGGTTGTTCATATTATCTATATTTTTATAACACTGAACATTAAGTGTATTAATTTTCTTTTAATATTTTTTCTGTTTGACATATAGCAGTTCATTATTTGTACAATATAGTGGTAATTTTTTTTCAGAAATAAGATTTGGAGGAGAATCATCCTTGTATTTGTAAATATTTATGGTGAAAGCATTCATAGATGGATTTATAAATGCTTCTCCATAACTAAAAAGACCTAGTCCAAGTATAGAGATCTAAAATACGGCCTGAAAATCATAGATAATATTGCAAAATTCTATTGTATTTGGGATTCATGTGAAATGAATAGATTTTTAGCTGCTCTTGCCACAAAAACAAGAAAAAAACGGGTAACTACGTGAGATGATAGATATGTTAATTTGCTTCACTTTGGTTACCTTTCTACTATCTACAAGTATTTCATAACATTGTGTTGTATACCTTAAATATTCACAATACTATTTATGTTTTTTAAAGAAGAATAGGAGTACATTAACAGAACTAGACATGGTTCTATATTTGATATTTCAAGCAATTATGTCCATGTGAAGATATATTTTTGCATATATACAAAGATTGAGGTTGTAAATTCAACAAAGATTTCTAAAGATCATCCATTCAGATGTTGGTTGTTAAGAGCAATTAACCTCTTTATTTTGCAATGTGTATTAATTAGTGTGATTTTGAAACATTGATACTAGTATGTTGTTTTACTGTTAATTTAAAAAAATAGTGCACTCCTCTCTAGTCAGAGGGAACAAACAACAGCATATATTCAGTTTCCCTTAGAATTGATGAGGCCCATTCATGGAAACATTGGTAGACATCTCTAAAAAAAAGATAGAATATGAAGTTGTATTATATGTAAAGAAAATGCCAACTTAATTTACATGATCATAAAGTAGTTGTTGATTTTGTGGACTTTTTTCCCCTTTAGCAGTCAGAGGAAAATTTCAACCCTAACTGTTCATTTTGGAGCTACTCCAAGCGTACAATGACAGGTTATTGGTCAACACAAGGCTGTCGGCTCCTGACAACAAATAAGACACATACTACATGCTCTTGTAACCACCTAACAAATTTTGCAGTACTGATGGCACATGTGGAAGTTAAGGTAAGATATATACCATACAATGAAAATGTTTTAGTACATAATATGATCACTAACTGTAAATAGTCCTAACTATATGGGCTATCATATTTCAATGTTTTTCTACTTTCGTAGTAATTCTATTAAGGAACTCTCGATGTTCAAACCATATCCTTGTGGATGATTCAAAGAACTTGTTATCTCTTTTCCTATTATCAATATAGTTCTTAAAATTGAAGTTTGCTTAATAAACTTCCCCTAGTCCCCCTGTTATTTTGTATAATAAATGTCAGACCATAACCTCATGAACGGGGTAAGATAGCACCCCAGGACCAAAGGCCAGTGGGGTTGGTTTAGAAAGGTGGGACTAGTGAGGTGGAAAAGTAAAGAGCTATGCATAGGTTAAATACAGTCAAACTGACTCTTGGGAAAGCAACCTTCAAGCACAATACCCAGAGAATGATAGTGCAAAGGACTTGGCATACCCTGACATAAGGAAATGGGTTCTGCCCATGCAAGAAGACATTACTCTAAGGAAAATTCCAGATGATAGATAGTTTCCAAAGTCAGAAACATGGCTGCATCAATTTCCTCCCAGTGTGACTAGCTTTCATATGGATAGAGGGTTGTCAGATGGAGTCTATGAGTTTGCAAGGGAAGGGAAGGTTGACAGGGTTTCAGGAGATCAACTCAAGCAGGATAACAGTAAAAGGTAGAAATGCAGTAACTATCAGATTTTAGGAGGCCTAGGCCAGGAAACAGAAAAAAACGCTAAGCAGGTCAGTGCATCAGTAGTAGGTAAGATTATTGCTAACACTGAGTAATATTAATACTTAACCTATAGAAATGTATGGGGTTGAAAACTTCAATTTTTATTTCAAGCAAGATACTTCATGGCCAGAGATGTTCGAGAATGCAAATATCTTGCTTCCCTCATCACAATAGTTAAGAACTGAGGCTGACTCAGATCCACATGTTGGATTCCACCAATTGTTATCAGTTGGAAGAAGGCTATTAATAGATTATATACATTATGTGGCATTAAAAATTTAATTTTTGAACTTTGAAACAAGATGCTCAACAAAAATAATACTTTTAAAATAAATATTGTATGTCTTAAACTAAATGGATAATGACATTTAAAATCTTAAAATAGGTTGGGCATGGTGGCTTATGCCTGTAATCCCAGCACTTTGGGAGGCCAAAGCGGGAGTATCACTGGAGGTTAGAAGTTCGAGACCAGGCTGACTGACATGGCAAAACCCCTCTCTACTAAAAATACAAAAATTAGCTAAGCGTTGATGCATGCTTGTAATCCCCCCCTACTCAGGAGCCTGAAGCAGAAGGATCGCTTGAACGGGGGAGGCAGAGGTTGCAGTGAGCTGAGATTGCACCAGTGCACTCCAGCCTGGGAGACAGAGTGAGACTCTGTCTCAAATTAAAAAAAAAAAAAAAAAATCTTGAAATATAGCTTCTTGTTTTTTTAAAAATGTCTTTATAAGTTAAATACAATTTTATATGTATTAGTCTTTAAGATTATTAATCCTGTATAATATATACAAAATTTTTGTCTTTAGAACTAGCATTGGTATTTTGCTTTGGTAGGGAAAAGCACTTATAGCTTCAACACTTTATGCAAAAGTTAAAGCTTAGTTTTCACAGCTTTTTATATTATAATACCTCTGCTGTAATTATATGGTACATATTTCATTGTGAAAAGAAAATGAGTACTTAAAACCCTGGAATGGCTTTCACAAAGATTGAACATTCTTTCATACAATTCATTAAAATTTTTCACTATTTAACTAATACTACTTAGCTTTCAACTTTAGTAACTGGTAAATAGTATTTTCAAAACAATTGTCTTTACAAGTTCAATAAAATGTGAAATAACGTGTATTTTTAACCATACTGTTCAGTTCAGCACATATATGTTAGTGTAATAATATAAGATATGAACACTGGCTTCAAAAGTTTACAGGTTTTCTCTTTAGATGAGACAGAAAAAAAAACAGCTATATAGTTAATAAGGTAGTGATAAGAATGAAGTTTGAACAGTGTACTGTGGGAAAATTGAATAAGTATAATAAAAGTCTGGAGAAGTTCTTAGAGATTTAAAAGCTGTATATTAAGAGATTAATGGATTAGCCAGAAAAGTTGTGAAGACCATTTCAATCAGAGAAAACAGCAGGAGCGAAAACACAAAGATGTTATATACCATGCTGTGTAGAGCATGGTAAAAGAGTTTAGAATTTAATACATGATAAGTATAACAAGGCTAGTGTTTAAGTCAAAATAAAATATCTAAATTTAAGATTTGATTGGGGAAGCAAGAATTGCAGTTCAGGTATACATACAGACTGGATGGTCTTCCTTATGCCTGAAGAACAAAAAGAAAGTTGGAGATTTCATAAAAAGAAGAAGTGTTACATATTGTTTTCCCAGAAAGTTCATTGGCACTAGTCAAGTGTGGAGAGCTGGCAAGCTCTGATTGGTGAGTGACAGGCAATGGGTCTTGGAGTCAAAGGAGGTTGTTTCAGTAGCTATTGGGTAAAACTAGTTTCAGGTTACAACAGGCAGTTTCAGCATGCAGGCTTACAGTGAATTCCATTCTTGGAGCCATGTTTTGTGCCCTGAATGCTTTCTTCCCTGTCTTTTGCCTCTGTTTTAGTTGGTATGACAAGAATAACCCCATTCATATGACCATCTTTCATTGTAGTTAGAAACTGGAGGTGGACTGAAGAATTTAGTAGGACTGTGGCCATGAAGGGCATAATTTATTTATTTCCATCTCTGGTGCTTGAATCAGGACGATGTGGAAATTTAGATGGGCTTAACATCTGTAGTCTCGGAGTAGAAGTCTCAATATCCTACATGTCCAAATATTTACAAGTAATACATAAAGTTGGGAAAAATGAAATATAACCTGACTTAACAAAATATAGCTTTATAATAACCGAAGACACACAATCTGAACTTAGGATTCTCAGAATCCCCAGAGTTGTGCACCTGTACATGGCAGTGTCAGAAGAGCCGACTCCTGGCTCACAGTCAGTGGTTTAGCCAACCCCTTCAAAAGGAGGAGGCGTGGGGATGGGGGGGCTCTCTTTCCAGAGTCTCAGGGTATAACTGTGGTATGGATCTTTGCTGTGATTCCATGGGCAACTAAAAAATGATTGCCAGATCTCTAAACAATAATAGCACCAGTTTTGGAGAGGATGTGGAGAAATAGGAACACTTTTTACACTGTTGGTGGGACTATAAACTAGTTCAACCATTGTGGAAGACAGTGTGGTGATTCCTCAAGGATCTAGAAATAGAAATACCATTTGATCCAGCCATCCCGTTACTGGGTATATACCCAAAGGATTATAAATCATGCTGCTATAAAGACACATGCACACGTATGTTTATTGCGGCACTGTTCACAATAGCAAAAACTTGGAACCAACCCAAATGTCCATCAGTGATAGACTGGATTAAGAAAATGTGGCACATATACACCATGGAATACTATGCAGCCATAAAAAAGGATGAGTTCATGTCTTTTGTAGGGACATGGAGGAAGCTGGAAACCATCATTCTGAGCAAATTATCGCAAGGACAGAAAACCAAACACCACATGTTCTCACTCATCGGTGGGAATTGAACAATGAGAACACTTGGACACAGGGTGGGGAACCTCACACACCAGGGCCTGTCATGGGGTGAGGGGAGTGGGGAGGGATAGCATTAGGAGATATACCTAATGTAAATGACGAGTTAATGGGTGCAGCACACCAACATGGCACATGTATACATACGTAACAAACCTGCACGTTATGCACATGTACCCTAGAACTTAAAGTATAATAATAATAGTAAATATATGTATATAAAATAGAAAACTAAATTAGACTGGTTAAGGCTTTTTAAATAAAGCATAAAAATGACTGTTCCTATTTAAAAAAACAATAATAGCACCAGTTTATGTTGCAATTTTAGTCAGATTATTCCCAATTCTTTGTGGATGATAGATGTCAAACGATTAGACTGGCTGGGCGCAGTGGCTCATGCATGTAATCCCAGTACTTCGGGAGTCTGAGGCTGCTGGATCAGTTGAGGTCAGGAGTTTGAGACCAGCCTGGCCAACATGGCAATCCATCTCTACTAAAAATACAAAAATTAGTTGGGCATAGTGGTGCATGCCTGTAGTCCCAGCTACTCAGGAGGCTGTGGTGGGAGGATCACTTGAGCTCAGGAAGCAGAGGTTGCAGTGAGCTGAGATCCACCACTGCAACTCCAGTTTGAGTGACCAAGCAAGACTGTGTCACAAACAAACAAACAAAATGATTAGACTGGTTGTAGTGTGACAGTTATTTTAATAAGTCCTGGTAAAGTAAGGGATGTCTAGGGCATAGGCAAGGGCTGTTGTAGTAGTCATGAAGAGGATTTATATTTCAGATATACTAGGATACAAAATATAAATGGCTTACTACCTTGTTTATAGAGGTCGATAGAAGGGCTATACACATGTACATTGTCTTCTCCCTGCTATCAGTAAAAATAGGGAAAGTATTAATGTCCTTAACATTTTACAAAGTAAAAATGATGGCAGAATTATTAGCTACCTTATGTTATTGATCCAAATAATTTCATCCAAGCCAGGCATGGTGGCTTGCAGCCTGTAATCTCAGCACTTTGGGAGGCTGAGACGGGCGGATCACTTGAGCTCAGGAGTTCAAGACCAGCCCAGACAACACAGTGAAACCTCATCTCTATTTAAAAAACACAAAAATTAGCCAGGTGTGATGGCATGCCCTTGTAGTCCCAGCTACTTGGGAGGTTGAGGTGGGAGGATTGCTTGAGCCCAGGAGGTTGAGGCTGCAGTGAGCTGTCATTGTGCCACGGCACTATAGCCTGGGCAACAGAGTGAGACCCTGTCTCAGAACAAAACAATTTCGTCCAAAATTTTATTTGATTCAAATTTAGAGAGAGTTGGTGCAGGTATACCAGAGGGAGAGCAAATTCATGCTCAATTAGCA